TGAGCTTCTTGAATGCTTATCTTTTCACTTTTCATGATGTTAGGAAAATTTTCTTCCAGAAGCTCTTCAACTATCTCCTCCGTGGACTTGTGTGATTGTACCTGTTCTGGAATGACAATAATTCTTATGTTATTTCTCTTCATGTTATCCAACATGAATCTTAGGCCTTCTTCAGATTTTTTAATCCTTTTTCGTGTTTGTTCTTCTATCTTAGTAGTGTTGAGAGATTTATTTCTAGCTCACTAGTTCTGGCTTCTATCTCTTCAATTCTACTCCTTTGCCCTTTCAGTGTATTGTCCGTTTCTGATATCTATTATTAATCGTTTGGACCTCTTTTTGTAGGTTTTAAATTGTTTCCAATGCTGTATCTATCTTATTTGATTGTTCCTGTAGCACTTTCCTTATTTTTCTCAACTCCACCGTATAGTGTTTTGATACATTTTATAATCATTTCTCTGAATTCCTTCTCAGTCATTTCCAAAGCCTGCCCATCTTCCAGTATGGAGTCTAGGTCTACTCCCCGCTCATTTGCCTCAGTCACTTTATCTCGTTTCTGGACATGTGCAGATATGGTCATCTGTTTCTGTGTTTTAGGCATCTTCAGGGGTTATCTGTGGCCTTAATACTCAGATGAGTATGTATTTTGGTATTTTTTATGCTTTCTGAATGCCTCCAGGTAGATGTGATCCGGAAATGGGCTTCCCTTTTCACTCTTCTTCTTGAGAAATTTCAAGATGCCAATCTTGGTCATTTTGACATAATTTAGGATTTAATTTTCAGCCTATTTCCTTTTTTGCCTGCTTGTCCTACTCCACAATCCCCGTTAAGGCCTTTTTCTAGTTGTAAACAGTTCAGGGCCGGCTGTGGCCATTTGCTTTTAATTAGAAACTGTCTCTTTAAATTTCAAGGCGATCTGTGTGCATGCATAGTAGAATCCTTCAAGGGTGGGGCTGGGGTGCTTACTAGCTTAGGCACCCCTATAGACACCCGAATGGAGGTGCTCAGACAGCAAGGGACCAATGAACAGCTACCAAAAGAGAAGAATGTCCACACCTTTGCGGTTCTGCCAGGCATCTGTGGCCGCTCCGATCCTTCCCCCGCTTGGTCTCACCCAAGATGGTGGCTCCTCGACAAGCTGAGCATCTCGAATTAGAAAGCAATGGATTTCTTGCTTCTGCCACAAATTCCCCCAGCTGTACACCTTCCAACCTTCTAAATATTCCTTTATATGTGGTTCAGCGTTCTGGGACCATCCCCTGAGCCTGCTTGGTCGGGTATTCTGTGTTGTTGCTGGCAGAGCTCCTTTACTGCACTTCCACCCGATCTGCCATCTTGTTTGTTCTCGATGTATTTTACAGTTCTGTTTTACTTTGCATACTTTTATATCTAGGTTAAAGGAGCCCTGGTAGCATAGTGGGTTATGAGCTGGTTTGTTAACTGCAAGGTCAGTAGTTTGAATCTACTAGTTGCTCCTCAGGAAAGAGATGAGGATTTGTGCTCCCATAAAGATGTATTACCTTGGAAACCCTACATGGGATTGCTATGTGTTGGAACCGACTCAATGGCACTAACCACCTACACCATATCTAGGTTTCTGGGTTCTATTGTTATGTATGTTAGTCTCAGGTTGTTGTCTGCTGTTGTTGGTTCTCTGTCCAAAAAATCCCTTTAACATTTTTTATAAGGTTAGTCTGGATTTTACAAATTCTTTTAATTTCTGAAAATTTCAGAAAAATAATTTGTCTGAAAATGACCTAATTTTGTTGTCATATTTGATGGGCAGTTTTACTAGTTTGTCAGTTTTTTCCCTTTGAGAGTTTATATGTATCATATAAGCTTTTCTTGCCTGTAGGATTTCTGCTGAGAAATCAGAGCTTAGTCTTACTAATTCTCGTTTATAGGTCACATTTTGTTTTTCTTAAGCTGCTCTCAGGATTCTTTCCTTGTCTTTGGTTTTGAAAAGCTTGATTATAATATGTCTTGGTGATTTTCTTTTGCGGTCTATCCTGTTTGGCGTTTATTCAACTTCTTGAATGGCTATCCACTTGTCTTTCATGATATAAGGAAAGTTTTCTTCCAACAACTCTTGGTCAGTGTTCTCTGTGTGATTTTTTTCTCTTTCTGTTCTGAAAGCTCAATTACATGTAAGTTATTCCTCTTGATAGTGTCCTACATAAATCTTAGGCTTTCTTCAGATTTTTTTTTCTTTTTTTTCTGATTGTTCTTCTAGCAGATGATATTTGGCTTTCCATTAATTCAGCTCTATTTCTTCACCCCTTCAGTATATTATCTATTTCTGAAGTCTTACTGTCTTCAGTAAGTCTTCTGGCTTTCTAATTGCTGATTTTGTATGGTTCCCATTTTTTCAATTATTTTGCCATCAGTTTCCTGAATTTTCCTATAGTTTTGTCTATGTTTTCCTTGATTTCATCTTTAGTTTTGTACATTTTTCTCCCAGTCCCTTGAAGTTGCCTAATCAGCATTCTTTCAAATCCATTATCAGGTAGTTATGATACCATTTCTGGTGTT